CCTGTGATTGTATTGAAGTCAAACCAACAAAGTCTTATGCATCCCACAAAACTTCAAAATGCTGACATCTTAATGATGAACCAATACTTCTGCCATTATAAACCTTAGAATATGATTGGGTGGTACTATCCTTGGTCTACCCACTATTGACATTCTCCAATCAAAATATCTAACAGATCCAACCTGTGGACACTCAGTAATCATGTGTATGAACTAACAAAATCAAAAAATATTAGCCTGATAATGAATAACACTAACTGATATTCTTCATGCCATGATACTCACATAATGTCACCCCACTGATTGAACATCTATAGCTGGCAACACTTCATCTATCCAATCCAAAAAAAATTTGTTATCGACTGTCCTCTCCTTCTAAAACCAACAAGTATAAACCTGCTCTTCTTTACTAGAATGGCTACTGCCAGTTGTCTTACTGTTAAACCCCTTTCCTGCTCGCTGTTCATTGCTACTAAATTACTACTATATCAGTCTTTATTCCTTTATCTCTCTTGACTAACATAGTAAATTATAAAATATCCTATACACCAATAAATGCTATCTCAAAGTATCTGAGAGTCCATCCAAGCATTTGTAATGCTTCTCCTCATAAATGCCAATCAACTGTGGAGCAAACCTAAAGAGACCAATAAACTCTACCTTATACTGTATGACTGTATATTCTACTAAATCAATTTTAAAATATATATATGTAGTTATTTCCTAGCAAGCAAAGGTACAAACCAAGTCATGTACACCTTTATAAACTCCTCACAAGTAATCAGGGTATTTGCATGACTCTAAAACTTATCTTTCTGTTGGCCCAACAACCAGCGTTCTACCTCATATTCCAACTGAAATGCTAATAATGCAACTCTCGTCTCAACAAGATAATGCGTCCCATCCAAAGTCTTATCTATCTTCATCAGCTAATCATTAACTACCCTAAATTTAGAGGTGTCAATTTCGGGTCACGGGTCGGGTTCGGGTCGAACCCGAAACTGACCCGGGTTCAAACGGGTCGACCCTAACCCGGGGGTTGACCCGGCAACCCGTCGGGTCAACCCGAACCCTACCCGTTTTTCAAACGGGTCGATTTCTGGAACCCGAACCCGACCCGTTTTGAAATCGGGTCGTGTCCAACCCGAATTTTCTGGGTCGGGTCCGGGTCGGGTTCTCGTGTCGTGTCAAATATTGACACCCCTACCTAAATTCAATAACACTTGGAAGTTTGGGAGGTTATAATCTAATTAAATTCTATAAATATGATTTATATCATCAGATCGAGTATTAGAAACCTACGTGTGAGCCTTGCCTACCAACTGCGTTACTAATGGGCCTTTATGATGCTTAGTAGATACAAACAATATGAACTAAAATGTGCTAAATTTAAAATATGCTTAAATTTTCTTTGATATGAAATTAATATAAGCTCACTATAATATATAAGTATAAGTGCCAAATAAAATAATAAATTGATTGAGTTGAGTATTAAATCCATGAGGAAGTGTTATGCTAATTTGCAACTTAACTACTACTGCTTATTTCAAATAGACCACTTGTCATACTGAAAATAAAAATGATGTTTAGAGTTTTTGTCACTAAAAAAAAAAATCTTACAAAAAGATCTTTGACGCTTATGAGAATAAATTATTTTAGGCTAATTAATATAAATAACATGATTTTTCTAATGAGACTCTTAATTTTAGATATGAATAAGATCATATACATCCCTAAATCTCATTCAAGATTGTATGGGTGAAAAAAGGTTTAAGATCTTCATATAATTTTATTATCTCCATAGAACCTATAATATTAAATAAAATATAATCTAAAAAATTCAAACATCCTATATATAGACATGCTAATATTCCATTTTAAGATTCATAATTATTTCAGTATTCCTATGTTGAGACTATACATCACACTATATTTTAAATACACACACGATCAGTGTATGCATTAAATGAAGTTTAGTGGATATTGAAAACATCCGTATGATAAGTGTAAATAATGTCTTATATTTTCAGTAAAAATGTATTATTTTTAGTTGTACTGTGTAGGAAAAATATAGAAATATCATAAAATTATAAGTTCGTATAATGTCGTGACATCGGAGCAAACAACACCGTAGCACCATTGAAGACACTACCTAAGCGCCATAATATCAACATTACAACAACATGTTCTTTATCGTTTCGGGCCACAACGCCATAATTTATAATGCCTCAGCACCCAAATCGGTCTTCTAGCGCCGTAGTGTTCAAAATTTAATAGCACCTCAGTGTAGCAGTTGTAACTTATAATAAGGACACAATCTATTAGTTAAAATGATGTGACTAATCACTAAGTAACTAATCCATGTTAGGAAGCATCGCAGCGGAGCCATAATGACAACACAACATCATTAGTTCATTTATTGGGCGTGGTGAAAGTGTTGTGAGGGCACAATGAAATCATATACAAAGCACATCAAAAGTATAGTGAAAGTATAAGAAAAGCATAGTGGAAGCGCATAAAAAATGCAGTAGAACTCAATAAAAGTGTAGTAGCAATGCGATGTGAAAGCACAATAGCAAATGCGTAGTAGTAAATGTGCAGTTAAAGCACAGTGAAATCACAAAAAACACATTGAAAGCGCACCAAAAGGATAGTAGCAATGCACAGTGAAAGCGCAATAACAAATGCACAGTGAAAGCCTAAACCCTAATTTTATCCACCTAATAGTTGAAAGCGCAATAATACACATTTTTATTGTGTATCATCACGATTTTACTACTTATCACACTTCTTATTTTACTGCACTTGCGCTGGTACTTAGCATTGATGTGCTTTTTCCATGCAACTTTATTTTAGCATATGCATTTTATCCACACATCGTATCTCATGTAAAAAATTATAAAACTTGGGAAAACTTTATAACAACTTGGGATGAAGTAGAAATTTATCGATAAGTTGAAACCTGCAGCAGCTCTAACCAAATTAACTTTTTATTCCTGAACGTTTGCATATCTCTTTTCAGCCTTTGCGTCCTGTGAGCGTGCCATCTCCACGAATAATGTAATGTTCTCCTAAAAAGTCATAAATATTTGGATTTGGGCATTTTCGCAGGTTTTCTTAAAATGGAGCGACAACCCTAAAACCCACAATCAAAAAGTAAAAAAACTATGGGTCAGGTCGGGTTGGTTGGGCTGATAAGATATGAATAAAAAAGGAAATCCAATTGAATATTCACGTGTCCATTTTACTATCTAGATTTAATTGGAGTTTATACGTAGAGCTACATCGGACTCCACACATAATATTGTTTATGAGAGAGGAGTGTCAGTTGCTTAATGTTTGAGAGAGTGAATCAACCCCCTTTTTCTTTTGAACACCTAACACAAAATATTAGATAAATTGATCAAAGAATTCCTTGATGCCCTTGATCTAAGGGCTAATATCAAATGTTGTCTTTTTGAGGTATTTCAATGAAAAGGTGGGCTGAGATTATTTTGTATACAAACTTAATTAGGAATTAATTTAAATATATGTCATATATATTTTTAATTTAATATTTATAAGTATTTATTAATTCTATATTTTATATATTTTTTAGTTTGGTTTATTATTATTATTTGTTGTATATATGTGTATATATTTTTATTTTATATTTGAAAACAATGGATTCTTTTTTAATAAAGTTCATTAAGAAAATTCTCATAAAATTCTCTTCTTGATGCACACCAAACAATGTTCAATTCGAGCACGAATTGGCTTATTTGAAAGGTCTCGATGATCCGAACACGTTCATGCAATTTATTTCACAAAATGAGGCATGAATCAAAAGATTTCATGCTTAAATACATGGACTCACATTAAATACTCATCAAATAGACGCTGACTCAATCTCCCATATTTTAAAACATGCAAAAATGATGATATGTGATCAAAAGAAATGAATCATAAGGTCAACGATGAATTATGATAAAACCGCGACTAGACTTTTCATCAAACACAATAGTGAAATATGCAAAAAAATGAACTGACTCACAATAGATGCAAAAAGCTTGTCCAAGTGATCGATGCTAAAAGAGAAGGTCAACACTTCCACCAATCACAAAGTTGCTTACACAAACAAGATAAGATCACCACTCAAAAAGCATTTTCACTCCTCTAACATCCCTTAGGTTTTACTTTGGAGTACTAAAGGAAGACAATGCATATTACAAAAATTCACTCAAGTGATTGAACTCCCTTAACAGCAAAACTAAAAAAACTATTTATAATAAGTACAAGAATGACCTCCAGCATCTCGATGCTTGACAACGTGGCACCGCGATGGTTAGAAATGAACTAGTATCTCGGCGTTGCAAAGTTTGCTTTGTTGTGTTACTTGTTGACATGACACAATTACTAATTAAACTAGCACGTGTTTTTGCTTAGTGACTGCAGCTCATTGTGTTCATAATAAGTTGACTATGGTCGACCAAAATTCCAAGTGTTGCGGCGCTCGAATGTTGATTTTGGCTCTGAAGCGTAGAAATGTATAGTACTGCGACATTCATTTTCCTTAGATCCCTAGCGCTGTAGTGATGAATTTTGCACAACAACACTCAAATAGCTTATTATTTTTTAAAACAATTTTTAAGTACAAAAGTTTTTTTAAGTGGAAAGTTTTATACTATAAAATAATTTTAGAAAGCAATAAGAAGGTTATCCCAAATGAAGCATGGATAGTTTGTTTACTGTTTTGTATTTTTCAAACCGCAACTATAATTTTTATTCGAACACAATTTCTTCACTGTTTTCAATAATTTTTTGTGCTAAAAAGCTGCTGCAGAAAATAACTTAAAATTTTTTTTTTCTCCACTAACTTTACAATAAATTTTATAAAAAATTGTAGCCATCCCTCTTGATTTATTACTCTTATTAATTTGAACAATTATATTATCAATAAATTTTTTTTTTGATGATATTATAAAATATATAAAAACAAATTCATTATTATTCTCATGTCGTAACTGCTTCCACTCGGAAAACCCCAGTACCGATTACAGATTGCCGAATACGATTTATTTGGCTTTTCTATTTCCGGTTCCAATTTCCCGAAGGCTCACCAGAGCCCTAATTCTCCATTTATCGACATTTTCAATCACGAATTCCCCGCTCATCAGTCCCAATTTTGTCGAGGCTTAACCAAAAACCCTTTGCTTTTACCCTTCTAAGTGTTAATGGCTTCGAATGGAAGCTCAGCAGTGAGTTGGATCGATCCTTACCCTAATAGGTTGCTTTGTCGATTTTTATGAATTTGGTTCTGTTTTCGGATTTCAGAATCTGGCGGACACGGAGAGCAGCTTGGAGAAAATCAAGAGACAGCTAACGTCGGGATCGGGGAGGCATTTATTGCAGGGTCCGCTCCTCAAGCGATCGGAAACTGTAAGGCGCCCCATCCGAGTAGATTGTACAGTGAATTTGGGTTTTAGTTTTGACCACTGGAATTTTGGCGTGTTATCCTGTTTAATTGTTTAGCTTGACGGTAAAATATTTGTTGAGTACCACTTTGGGGCTAGCTGGTTGAAATAATACTGGCCGCGATTTGGATTTTTTGTCAAATTGAATGAGAGTGAGCTGTAAAGATGTGTTTTCCAACGGGGATCAGGCTCAGGGGAATGGAACTACATGGGGATTAATTTATCCGTCTCTCGTTATGTTGGCATGCTGTTGGTGCTCTGTTCATCTGGCGTTACTGTTATTTCTTATTTTGTTATAGCCACCATTATGTTTATTTTATTGTTATTCTTCATATCCTTGTAGACAACTTTGTAGCATTCTCTGATGCATATTTGCTGAGGATGTGTTTGATAAACCTAGATTTTGTTTATCTGAAGCAAAACCTGATGAAATGGTCCTTGTTTTATTAGGTTTAATCTATGTTCATTCATTTTTTGAGTTTACTTGATGGTTGAATATGGTATTTCACTGAATTTATCATTTAATATTACCTATCAAATTTCTCTGTGATGGTTCTAGGCTATTTAATTTGGTATTCCTTTAAAATGGTCGCAAGGGCAGGGAGACACTAAAAGATAATATAATCGTCTTGAGGCCATTTCACCTTTTGAAACTCATTTCATTCACAAGTGAAGTAGCATATTTCTTTGCCACCTTTTTTGTTGAGGTTGAATTTGTCTAATTCAATATGAGTTTCTCGTGTAATTTGTTTTTAAGTCTTATAATGAATTTCTTGAGCGTGCTTTGTTTTGCTAGTACATATATACATTTTAAGATATGCAAAATATTGATGTTACATTTCTTTGCCTATTGTCGAAATATTATTATATGCATTGATTTTGTTCTAAGGTAAAAAAAAACGATTTTGTTCTAAGGTAGTTTGATCCAATGTATTAGCACCATTTAACTGAAAATAACTAATTTAAAATTTACTTTGTACATCACATGCTATGATAATAGAAGTAAATGCAAACACTGATACAAAATTATGCTTAATATTATAAAACCAATATCTTCAATAGAAGGTTAATGGCAGCATTTCAATTCATGAATACTAAATAAGGATTAACACTATTTCTCATGCATATAATTTAGCACGACTTTGTATTTTAAATAAGATAAATTGATTATGTTGTTTAATATCATGAAGTTATGTAGTTTAATACATGAAGTTCAACTTACCATCTTAAGTTTAAAATCAAATTTTAAACAAAAGTTGAAGTTTTGAGACAAACAATTTGCATGAATAAAATTATGAATGATGTATTTTTCACTATTAACGTCATAATCCTCATCCAACATTTGAAATTTAACGAATTTTTTTGTTGATGAGACCAAATAATGGTATGCAAAGGAAGCCATGCTCTATTGCCATTGTTGCTACCTTGGGAGAGAATTTTTGAGAAATAAGAGCTCGAACTCGCAACCTACTACCGCGACAATAGCATATAATCAAAATAAAAAAGGAAGCCACCATAATACCCAAAATTATGTAAGTTTAATATTTTCGGCATAATGATTTCTCAAAATCTTTCCATTTTATCGTACCCCATAAAACGTCAAGCCTAGTGTCATTAATTTCTATTTTGAATTTCTATCATATATATATATATATATAATAGGATTTACTGTTATTCAATTAATAGTATTGAATTTAAAAGTAATTATCATTAGCAATGTTTAATGTTTCATTTAAAAATATTTAGCTACATCTACTTCAGCCAAATCACTTAGCCATGCTTGCAATTGGCTGATTAAAAGAGGCTGGAAATCAATGACTGGGAAAGATTAGGGATCTTGTAGTGGATCTGTAGTGGAATTCTAGTGAGATTATTATATTCACGATCCTTAAGCATTAAAACCAAAGCATCATTCTTTTTCCCTCCCATTCTAATGACACTCTTTGGCATTCAAAGCTGATGTCTACTGCCGAGTGAAGTATGCAATCCAGAAGGGGGGAAGTGAGCAGGATTCGGCTTAGAGTCTGCTACAAATACTCTAAGCTTAGGTCAGAAAATTTCATTGCTGAACTCAGGTATCTAAAACAGATGAGTACATGCATTATATGAATTATCTATATGCATACATATAATTATGTATGAGGAATTGCTAGAAAGAATGACTGTTCACTCATCTAGGCTAGATACAAAAACAAAAATGAATTAGCGGAATAAGTTTAAGGAACTTCAATATATTGTGCATTTGATCTCACAAGTGGTTGATAAAACGACATCGATGGAGAAAATGCTATACCAACAGTTAACCAAATATGAAGTTATCAGTGAAGTGGATCAACATTGAAAGTTATTTTAGACTTTTAAATCATCAGTCTTCAAAGGTACAAGTGATCCAATAGTAGCTGAGGATTAGTTGTTGAAGATAGGGAATTTCCTAGATGGCATGATCTGTTCTAAAAATAGAAAGGTACCATTGACCACGTTTATTCTAGAAGGACAATCAGAAAGATGGTGGCAAGCACAACTTCTTAGAGAAATTTGGACAGATGCTTATCACTAGCATATAGTACTGGGATGATTTTGTGAGGGTATTCAGAGACTAACTTATTTCTCCTTTAGCCAAACTAGCTTTACAAGACTAATTCTTCAATCTGACTCAGGGTTTGAAAACAATTATGCAATACGAAGCTGAGTTCACTTCTTTGTCCCGCTATGTACCTCATTATGTTAGCACCTAGGAGAAGTGCAACAAACTCTTGAGAGGTATTAGGGATCAACTGCGACTAGCATTGACACCTTTTGATATGAGTGAATTCTCAATTTTAGCAAAGAGAGTCAGAAGGATTGAAAATGAGCTGAATTTCTCTAAGTACAGTTGGGAGCAGCAATAAATAAGTAAAAAGGAAGATGTTTGAAATGATGATCGATTCAGAAACAAGAAACCAAAGTTAAATGATAAGCAGAAGTAGAGTTAGTTTAAAAAACCTTTGTGTGATCAATGTGGGAAGGGGCATTCAGGTCAGTGTTTAGTGGGCCCTGGAAGATGTTTTAGATTTGGTGAACCGGGTCATCGCAAGGTGGACTTCCCTCAGGAGAGAAGAAACAATGCAAGACCATAGTGATACTACGGATATTAGGAGCAGGGACACTATATGAGATATATGGAAGGCAATTAGGCAGGAAAATAACAAAGTGACTATCAATAACAAATATTCATTATCCAGCATAGATGATTTATTTGATTAGTTAGTAGGTGCCACAATATTTTTTGGAATTGATTTAAAATCATGATTGTAAGACGACTTTTGGGGCCATGTATGGTCAATTCGAGTTTAGAGTTATGCCTTTTGGGTTGACAAATGCTCTTGCTATGTTTATGTATATGATTAATAGGATTTTTATTGACTATATAGTTCAATTTATGATAATGTTCATTGATGACATTTTGATATACTCAGAGACTGATGAGGAGCATGTTGAACATTTAAGGATAGTTTTGGAGACATTGAGAAAAAATCAGCTCTATGCAAAATATGAATTTTGGCTAAAGAGTATTACCTTCTTGGGACATTTTATTAGTGGTGTAGAAATTTTAATAGACCCACAAAAGGTGAAATCAATTATGGAATAGCCTAAATAAAAAAAAAATTATGGAGGTTCGTAGCTTCTTGAGATTAGCTAGATACTATATGAGGTTTGTTAAAGGATTTTCACAAATTGCTATGCCCTTGTCCAAGCTAATAAGAAATGTTGTTAAGTTTTAGTGGATTCCTAAATATGAGAAGAGTTTTTAGGCATTGAAGATGCATCTGACTACAACACTAGTGTTGACACTTCCATCAGGAATTGAAGAATTCCAAATTTACAGCGATGATTCTCTTAAGTGTTTTGGATATATTTTAATGCAGAATAGAAAGGTAATTGCATATGCAATGCGATAGTTGAAGCCACATGAAATAAATTATCCTACTCATTATCTAAAGCTGAGTTTAGTGGTATTTGCTTTGAAATTTTGGAGGTATAATATTTATGGGATAATATATGAAATTTTTACTGAGCATCAGAGTTTAAAATATATATTTTCTTAGAAAGAACTCAATCTGAGATAGAGAAGATGGTTCAAGGATTATAATGTGGATATTGAATATTGTGTTGGAAAAATTAATACTGGTTGATGCCTTTAGTCTCAAATCCATAGGAATGATGAATTTGATGATTATTCAGGAGGTTCAATTGATGAATGAAATGGAGAATCTACAATTAGAAGTTAGAAATTTATAAAATGTGGAATACTTACATCAGATGATAGATGATAGTAAAACTAACTTTAATAGATCGTATCAAAGAAACTCAAAATATGAGCAGTGAATATTCAAAACTGATGGAGCTGGCCTAGTCAGGGAAAAGGCTAAATCTTTCTTTTGATGCCGATGAAAGCATTAAGCATAAATATCAGTTGTGGTTACATAGTGATCTGGATTTGAGAAATAAAATTTTGTAAGAAGCTCATCATTCTGGCTATACAATTCATCCAAGCAGTACCAAGATATATAAAAACTTGAAATTAATATTTTATTGGCCAGGTATGAAGAAAGACGTTGCTGAATATGTAGCTAAGTTGAAGCATGTCAAATTGTGAAAGTTGAACATCAACAACCTAGTGGACTACTGCAATCATGGCCTATCCTTGAGTGGAAGTGGGAAGAAATTGCAATAAATTTTGTTATGAGATTTCTCATATCCAGATAGGGACACGACAATATTTGAGTGATTATTAATAGACTAACAAAATTAACTCACTTTTTGCTTATCAATAGATAAATTAGTACGTTTGTATGTGAAAGAGAGAGTTATATTACATAGCATTTCAAAAGCCATTGTCTCAGATAAAGATAGTAGATTCACTTTTAGGATGTGGAAAAGCATTCATGAAAACCTTAGCTCAAATCTGTACTTCAGTACATCTTT